ATATATGCACCCCTATGTTCATAGCAGCACAATTTACCATAGCTAAGATCTGGAAACAGCCTAAGTGCCCATCAGTAGATGAGTGGATTAAAAAACAGGGTACATCTATACAATAGAATACTACGCTGCTGTTAAAAGGAAGGAACTCTTACCATTTGCAACAGCATGGGTGGACCTGGAGAGCAGTATGCTAAGTGAAATAAGCAGTTGGAGAAAGATATATATCACATGATCTCACTCATTTGTGGAATATAACGAACAACATAAACTGATGAACAAAAATAGACCCAGAGACATAGAAGCATTGAACAGACGGTCCAACCAGGGGGTAAGAGAGCAACCAAAAGACTTGCATGCATATAAGCATAACCAATGGACACAAACAGTAGGGTGGGGTGAGAGCATGTGCTGGAATGGCTAGGGAGAGATCAATGGGGGGGAAAGGAGACATATGTAATACTTTAAACAATAAAGAATTTTTAAAAATAAACTGCCATGACCAAAGGATTTGTCCCAGGTGATTTTAGTCTGATTGGACTAGTCTGTAGGATTTAGAAGAAAATATGAGAGATTACCTTTATAGGATAATTGCTTAAGCAAGACACCAGAAGCAGAAATCATAATAAGAAATAAGAATTAAGACAGCAATATAATACTATTTTTACTATCCTGTTGACAATATGAAAAACTTTCGATATTACAAAGTGTTGGCAGAGGTGTGGGGAAATGGTTTGTTCACATACTAATAAAGAGTTATAACTTCTTTACAGGGCAATTTATTTCATGTCTATCAAAAATGTGTAAGATATAAGTCCTTTCAGATCTAGAATATAGTGTATAAACAGCCATTTGAAAAAACGAAATAGCTCTGTATATTGATAGGGAAGGATCTCTCTCTCTCTCTCTCTCTCTCTGGGAAGAAGAAAATTTGTCAAATTTTAAAATCACAAAAATAGACCTGTTGAAGGGAGAAAGAAAGAAAGAAAGAAAGAAAGAAAGAAAGAAAGAAAGAAAGAAAGAGAGAGAGAGAGAGAGAGAGAGAGAGAGAGAGGTCATTTTACACACATACACATATACAAATGACACGTGAAGCACCCTTTAAAAGCAACCCATTAATGCAGATAGTAAATATACTCATTCAAGCTGAACTTTGGAGGAGGAAGGAAAGCTGAGTAGAAGAATGAAGGATTGCAAGGGAGATAGGATTCATGAAAGCCCTCTTGGAAGCTGTGAAGAGCTGAAATGAACGAAAAGGTAGTATGAAAAACTCCAGGCAGAGAGAATGCCACTCTCTAAAACTGGGGAATGAAGATTAAATGTCTGTGGAGCCCTAGCCAGGCACACAGTAGTTAGAGCGTTGCCCCAGGACTGAAGGGTCTTGGGTTTGATTCCAGTCAAGGGCACATACCTCGGTTGCAGGTTTGATCCCCAGCACTGGTCCAGGTGCTTTTGTGAGGCAACCAGTCAATCTGTCTCTCTCACATTGATGTTTCTCTTTCTCTGTCTCTCCCCTCCCTTCCACTCTCTCTAAAAATCACTGGGGGAAATATCCTCGGATGCGGATTAACAACAACAACAAAAAAAGAAGAATAAAAGCAGTCTGCTGTTGGGCCCAGGGGAGGGGAGCTTTCTAAGGGTGAGGCCACTGCTGGGGGCAGGCTAGGATCTTCACCATCAGAGGATCTCAGCAGTAGGGTTTCGATTTAAGTGCGCGGTGGGTGGGGTTTTTAACGGGAAAGGTAGAATGCAAATGGCATCTGCGGGAAGTTGTCTTAGCGGGCACCACCATTGGCAGGGGCTATTATTGCTCAGAGGGGAGATAAGCCTGGATTTGAGTTGGGGCAGCAATATTAAAAAGGATGTCTAACAAGCTCAGCGACAGAGTCATTAGTTTGGAAAATGTGTATCTTAGAACAGTGAATATTTAGCAGGTGAAAGAGAATCCCATGTTGGAATTAATTAAATTTTATTTTCTTATAGTCACCTAGACTTACGCAAGGTGAAAATGAGCAGTGAGGTTTTTGGAAAAATGAGTAGAACCACTAGGGAAGTTCAATCTTTTGGCTTGAGAAAGATTACATTCCCATTATGATTGTAGGCTTTTTCTCCCTCCTGTAAATTCATCTCAGGAGAAAGGGCTTTTAGGGGGCCTTCCAAGGATTAGCAATGCATGCGCAATGGTTGAGTCATCCCACCCAAGGCCTGAGTCCCCGATTTACCTGCACTTCCAACGCTGAACCACAGAAAGAGCCCCCACGCCCAGAAACAGCATCTGTCCCGGAGGCCTGGGCGCATGGCTGAGCCCACTCTCAGAGCTGGGGTAAAGCCGACCCTGATGCCAAAGACATCACATAACCCAGCCACTCACAGTTTTGAACACCAAACGCCCACGTGGGTCTCGGTAATCGTTAACTAGCCTCATGACCTGTAAAAGAAAAAAATAAGCTCTCCCTAATGGTTCAACCTCCACCGTTTTTTTGGTTTCTTCTTCTCAATGAAAACAAATACACTTTTCTTTTTTCAAAGTGGGGGACATTGAAACACATTGTCCTTCCTCTCTGAGCCAACCGTCATCAGAAAACTATTTCCTGCCCCTCTCCCACTTCCCATTATAAAATGTTAGTAAAAGCCAAAGCAGAAGTCTTTCATCTCTCGGTGATTACAAAACCGTCATTGTTCTGGAATTATCTGTGGACATGTTTGTCTCCCTAGGGAGACTCTGAGCAATGTGAGGGCAAAGACCTCTTGTAGATGTTTGAATCCCCGGTGTCTGCCGCAGAGCTGAGCTAACAATGCATGTTTAGTGTGCGTTTAACGGGCAGAATGGAAGAAGGCAACGTTTGCCTCTGGAGAGTACTGCCTTTTGGGGAGTCTTGGGGCTAGAAGTGAAATTCAGTCTCTAGGAAGAGATGTTCAACTTTTTTTTTTCTTCAACTTCTTGATTCGCAAATAAAGCAACTGAATAGTAGAGAAAGAAAATGACCTTCTAGCAACCCTGCTGCTAGAGTGGCAGAGCTAGCCTGGAACTAGGGCATTTCCAGTGTACCCTGTGGCCTCTTCCTCCCAAAGGAGAGGCAGAAACCACAGAGAGCTGGTTCTAGGTATTTTGGGGGAAGAGAAAGGGCAGGGCACTTGCCCAGATCCTTAAATTATAACACATTGCTATGAGGCAGAGAACCCACCAGCAGGGCCAGTATCGAACTTTGTGGGAAAGTGAGTGTGTGCTCTGAACCCCTGAAACCAGACAGAACAGTCCCTGAGGAGGCATCGGTACCATGCCAACGTGGACGGGCCAGGCCTGCAGAAGATGAGGATACAATGACTTGGGAGAGTCCAGCCCTTGCTTCTCCTGTTGCTTATGATCCCACTGATCAACGGTGCTGCTCCCAGGAAGGGGCATGGCAACAAATGGGGCTCAACTGAAGGCTGCCCTGATGTCAGAGACCAAGTCAGGTGCATACCTTCAGGTCCTCAGAGCAGCAGATGCCAAGATGGGACCAGATGGGCCCGAGAATTACTGGGAATAACACTTGTGGAGAATAAGGAAAGTGAAGAAGGCAGGGGGAGCCTTTAGACTGTGCTGCAGGCCTGACACCTGTGAAGGAGAGAGGGAAGGAACGAAAATTACCAGAAAGAGATTACCTCACAACAAGTCAAATGAGGGAGGGTTTGGTGCCATTTCCTTAAAGAAACCTTTACTTTCTTTGCTGCAAACTCCTGTTTGCATTTGAGTGGACTTTGATGCATGCAGGCAAACGATCCCATTTAGTTCGGTAACACAGGAAGTAGGGTGACATATTTTAGAAATTGAGGATAGAGACCTGTCTACCGGGAGACATTGAGAGAACACCAGTCGGGGGGGTATGGTCTGTCTTCCCCAAGGAGAATGTCAGGGCAAAATTCTGGTATGATTTTCTTCTTGCGGTATCCCCAGTGCCTAGCACAAGGTCAGCCACTTAGTTGTTGCTCAAGAAATACTTGCTGGGAAAGGCATGGTACATCGATCTCCTGAATTCAGGGCTGGTGTGGAATGACACCAGAAATCCCATCTCACTCCCAAATATTGCCTGCCCTCGAGTGGTCTCCAGTGGAGATCAGCCTGCTGGAGATTTCATTTGTGTGTTCAAGGTCATGTTTTCCAATTTCATTCATTCAGGTTCTACCTTCCCCACTCCTGCCATACCCGCTTACCACCTGTGCTAATGTGTATGTCAAGTGTTTATATCTATAACTTCCACCCACTGGCATTGACAATGGTGGATGGTTGTTCATATATCATCCAAAATGACAGAAAACACGAGTTTGAAGCATGGCCCTCTATTTAAAGTATAAACCTCTATTTGCAGCTCTACAGATCCGGAAAAACCTAAGGGTCTTCCTTTGATTCTGTCCCCCATTCTCCAGACAACCCCATTTAAGATTCACGCTCTTTGGCTGTTATAGTTGAAAGTGCATGGACTCCAAGCCCAGACACTCTGAGGGGGCACTGGCCTCAGGACACCCAGCTCGTACACATGATGATACCGATGCCCATAAACGTGGAGTAGGAATCTTAAGTGAGGCAAGTGTAACCCAGAGAAATCCACGTCATGACCCAGGCATTGGGCGAGGTCTCCTTGGTGGCCGAGGAAAGGAGGCTCTTTGAGGAGAGAAGAGAGGAGAGTGAAGAGGCTCCATTTCGTTTCTGCCTGATCTCAGCTCTGCCCCGTCCCTACCCTTGTCCAAAATTTGGGTCTCAAGCCCATAACTAGCTTTCCTCTTGACTTTACCTCCTAGTTGTGGGAAGGTGACGAGAAGGCACAGGCTGCTGCTGTCACCATCTCACTCTTGGGTTTCATTTTGGCTTTGAATTTTAGGGGGAAAAAATCTAATTATAGCTAATAATAAGTGTAGTGGAGGGTGTGCAAAGGAAAAAGCCTTTGGACACAAACAGTCCTGCTCCATCTCATCCAGCCATGTGACTTTGGACAAATGGAGACTTCTCTAAGCCTAATTTCTTCTTCTGTTAATGGGCTGTGGTGAACTGCCTGACATACGGAAACTCTTTCTCCCCCTCTTCTTTTTCCTTCTCCAAATGGAAACAGTCTCATCTACTCCCTATATGTCACTTTCCCAACTACCAACCCTGAAGATGAAAAAAGGACCGCAAGGCTACCCACCATGCCGTGCCTGGATGGCCTCTGGATGACCTCTGGATCCGTAACCAGACTCCAGCAGCCACAGCTCGAGGAGCTAACCCAGTGGACTGGGTGGCTGTGAAATCAGAGTTTACATTCCTCTCCCCTCACTCCCAGGAGCTCTGTGGCCGGGAGGGAAAAAGGCACATTTACTTGCCCTGGAGAGATAAAGAAAAATAAATGGAGAATGTGGTGGTTGAAGAAGCTTGAAGAAGGGTGGATGGATGAGGCCAATGTTAATTTTGCAGATCTTAAAAAGATACATATTGCCAAGACTGCTAAACAACATCTAGCAATCTTAGGTAACAAAGCAAGCAAATGAAGCACCATCACATAGCAGTTTATGTATATTAACTTGGTAAGCATGACAAATGTATACTGTGTCAGATCATGTTTATTGATTTCTGTAACATTGTGCTTATAATTAAGTTTCTTATCTCTTTCCTCTGTTCATTCTTATACTCTTACCTTCTCTCTCTTTCTCCATCCCTCTCTCCTCCCATCTCCCCCACCGGCACCCCCACTCTCAACCCCGCTACATACATACTCACACACCAACATTCACAGTCAGGAGAGAAGCCAAAGACTATGGACCCAGATGCAGGTGGACGGGCAGAGGTGGTGACGGGAGTGTGCAACTGCTCTAGCTGACTGTTCCTTTTTCCCTCAGAGAAATAGGAAGCAGGGTCACCGGTTGAGTTTGGGGAAGAAGTTTTGAGGCTTGAGAAAATGGTGTCTGAAAGTCTAAACTCGTTTTGAAGGGTGCCTGTGATGAAGAGTGAGAATCTGCAAAGCAAATATAGCCGGTTCTCTAAAGTCTTTCCCTGTTGTCTCCAATTGTGGCTAAAGTCTAATACCATAAAACAACAAATACTACGCCCCCATCCTCCTACGCCCCTCCCCATGTTCTAAAAAGAATAGAAGGATTTGAAAAACAAATTCCTGTCAGACTTAGAAGGTAGCAGAACTGCTCTGTGGTCAGACCTCCCTCCTGCACCTCCACCAGCTAAAAACATAAACTCATGAGTTATAGTTCTGAGGGGATGCGGGGCGTGGGGAATGGAGCGTACAGGAGGGGGAATCTTCCTTACCTTTCACAATAACCCAATGAGGGTTTACACCTGAGACTGGTAACCTCATGAAAGTGATAGTGGCATCTATTTCCAAGTTAGCTGTCCTTGGGCAGCCTGATCTGTCCTCAGGGCCTATGTAAGCAGGATGAGGGCAATGTAAAGACAGTGGCAGGCCGGGCAGCTGCGACCAGAGGGATGAGTTTCCCTCATGTTGAGTGGACCCCTCAGAAGACAGCTGGTTTGAGCCTTTTTGAGCCTTTCAAACCAGTTCTCTACCCATGAGGCCAGTCTTAGGGCAACATGGAGAGAAGCAAGGAACCCCAGAAGAGGGAGGGGAGAAATGAAAGAGGCATCCAGGTCCCCATTTCTCCTCTAAGTCTCTTGGGCCAGGACTGACCTTGGTGGGGAGAAAGAAGAGCATGACATGGAAGTTTTAGAATTGATTAAACTGCACTGGGATCCCCACTTTTGGGTGTATCTGCAAAGGAAATGAAAACAGGATCTTGAAGGGGTATCTGCACTCCCATGTTCACCGCAGCATTATGCAGCATAGCCAAGATGTGCAAACAACCTAAGTGTTTTCAACAGATGAATGGATAAATAAATAAAATCATCTCACATTTTATTTATCCGTTCATGCCAGGGCTCCTCACATGGGGCACCACCTTGCCGGGGCTGACCAGCAGCCCCTGAACGACGGGTGAACAGGTTACTCTGACACACTTTCACTGTCGGGGAGAGGGCTAAGGGACAGCCCGGCTGAAGAAGCCAGGCAGCCCCAAATGCCTGCCTCGTTAGGCTTTTATTGGAATTTTTACCTTTAGATACAATCAGTAGCGTGAGTAATCTTGAGAGGACACATGTCCTCTAGGCAAGGGCATCCAGGACTTAAGCATAGGATTCCAGTAAACACCCGGGGTCTCATATGCACAGACTTGTTTGTAAAGGTCAAGGAATAATTAGGGGCACTGCCTTCGACACTCCCCTAAGTCTCCCCTAAGTCGGAATTCCAATAAACAGGGTAGGCGGCCTTCCACACACTTCCCTTTTCTCAGAATGTCCTCCTCACAACTTTCCAACCAAGTCCCTTGTGCTCCCCAACACATTCATATATATATTTCTTTTTTCCCCCCACAACAAGTATGGTCCTTGAGGGCATTATACTAAGGGAATAAGCCAGACAAGAAGGACAAATACTACTTTGTGTCATTTATATTTGGAATTTTTTTTATTTAAGTCAAATTCATAGAAAGAGTAGAAAAGTGGTTGGGGATTGGGAAAAACAGGAAGAAGTTGGCAAAAGGGTACAAACTTTCAGCTATAAGATAAATAAGGATCTGACTTAAACCATGGTGATTATAATTGATAACACTGTATTGTATAATTAAAATTTACTAAGAGTAGAACTTAAATGTTCTCATACACACACAAAAAAGATAAATATGTGAGATGACGGGGTGTTAATTAATTAGATGAAGGAAATCCTTTCACAATGTACAAATTTATCAAAACACAATGTACACTTTAAATATCTTATAATTTTTGTATATCAATTATACCTCAATAAAGCGGAAATTTAAAAAAACTGGACTGGGATGGACTGGATTGCGTTTTTAATACTCGCCACCCGACCCCAAGACCAAAAAACTGTGTGATCTGCCCAAGATGATGCTGGGGGACAGGAAAAGCAGCTTCAAAAGAGTATGCATGAGGCTTGAGTTGGAGAAAAATAAAATCATTTTATGTTTGCTTCTTATCCAATTACAAAACAGGCCGTGCCTCACATTCCACTTGTTAAATACACTCTTCTGCCCTTTTCTATATATAAGATTTAAGCATCTCAGGTCTGCTGTTTGGTCAGTGCAAATGGAATTCTAGTGCTTCGCCTTGCAAATGCAGGCTTTACTAACCACTGGTAGGACAAAACTCAGAAAGAGCCTTCCTGTCCAGATGTTGGCGTAGGTGAATGCTGTACTTGCTGTCCTCCCACAACCACATCAAAATTACAACTAAACTCAGAACAACCATCATTCAGAAACAACTGAAACCAAGCTGAATGGAAATCTTACAACTAAAGAATTAAAGGAGAAGCCACATCAAGATTGGCAGGAGGGGCAGAGACTTGGAACGGGTTGATCACACACCCCTGTGTGGCAGATAAATATCAGGAGAACCCTGGCAGGTGTGCTCAGTGGTTGGAGCATTAGCACACACTACAAAGGGTCTTGTGTTTGATTCCTGGTCAGGAACACATACCGGGTTTGCAGGTTCACTCCCCACCATACCCCTGGTCAGGGCATGTGAGGGAGGCAACCAGTTGATGTGTTTCTCTCACATCAATGTTTCTCTCTCACTCTCTCTCTTCCTCTCTCCCTCCCTCCTTTCCACTTACTCTGAAAAGCAATGGAAAAAATATCCTCATGTGAGGATTGACAACAACAAAACTTGGGAGGGATATTTTATCTACAAAGCTCCCCCTGAGTAGTGACAGGTCCCAACCCCACACCAAGCCCTCCAGCCCAGGATTCCAGTGTCAGGAAGAGAAGTCCACACAACTTCTGGCTGTAAAAACCAGCAGAGATTGTGCCTGAATAATCAGAGCAGGTTTCATCTAGAGCAGCCGTGGGCACACTACGGCCGACGGGCTGGATCCGGCCCGTTTGAAATGAATAAAACTATTGAAAAAATAGACCGTACCCTTTTATGTAATGATGTTTACTTTGAATTTATATTAGTTCACACAAGCACTCCATCCATGCTTTTGTTCCGGCCCTCCAGTCCAGTTTAAGAACCCATTGTGGCCCTCGAGTCAAAAAGTTTGCCCACCCCTGATCTAGAGGGTATACGTGAGCTGGGGCTTGAAGGATAAGTACAAACTTTTCAGGAAATGAAGAGAGGAGCGATGTATTCATTGGACATCATTAGCAGTGCAGCATGACCAATTTGTTATTTGTAAAGAAAACTCTGGAGGGCAACAAAGACAGCAAGATTGGAGATAGGAGGCTAACTAACCACATTCACGTAATGTAGGCTGATTACACATTTTCTGTGTGCTAGGTTTGGTACAGAGGAGAGTAAAGACAAGTAAATAAGCTACAACAAACTATTAACACGTTAAGTGCCATGCCTAGGATCAGCACCTCCGCAGAGGTGAGAAATCCAAGTGAAAAATACTTGCTGCAAAAAGGTAAAAGTGGTGACAGATTTGAAGGGTATTTGGGAGGTAGAATCCTCTGTGTATACTGCTGGCTGTTCCCATGCACCTTACAGCTAACCACTGCAAGCGTCGGAGTCTTTACTTGAGGGCATTAATGTTTGCTTTGCACAAGAGGAGGCTGAGAAGCAGCAGGGGCTCAGAGGTGAGGACCACCAATGTCAGATGGAAGTCGGTGGATAAATACTCCAGGTTTGCTTGTCTCTCAGGGCGACAACCATGAGGAATGCCTTACACAAAGGACCCACATGGCCCGAGTCCCAGCTGCTGACAGTGGCAACCTGCTCATTACTGCACCTTGTACTGTCTCCCCTCCCTTCCCTGTCTCACATCCCCATGGTCCTCCCAGTGCTCCCTGGTATCACTCTCAAATAAAATATCTGTACTCAAATCCTTGTCTCAGAGTCTACTTTTGGGGTAACCCAACCTGAAACAACAGAAAAAACTGAATGAAAGATTAGCTGATGAAGATGCAAATAGGAGGCTATGAGATTTCTAGCTTGGGAGATGCTGAGTTAAAGACCCTTCAGGAGAGGAAGACAGATAGATTCAGGGAGAACAGAATGAGCCTGGGAAGACTAGTTTCAGGGGCCCCAGGTACTTGTTACCTCAAAATTCCCTGAATACCTAAAAGGTTAAGACTCTTGGCTTTGGAAAAAGAGAAAAGAAACTGAGCAGAAAGGGGACCACACAAGAGAAGAAACCACCAGAAGTGAACATCCTCTCTCCCTAAAGGGCAACTACAGTATCTTCCTTTGACCCAAGAGAATATAAAGCTCTAGCTACTTCCTCCAGCCGGTTTCTGTATTCTAGTTTCTCATAGTTGGAGGGACTCACTCCTTTAAAACCATGCATAACTCCCCACCAGCAGCCCGCAATGGCAGCCGTGGAATCACTATCTCCACCATGGAAAAAGGCTCGGTGGGCAAGCTCCTTCCAGGAGTCTCCTGCAGCCAGGATGGCATCATAGGCAATCATGGGGGCATCGTGTCCACTGCTGCCGCCCCAGCCAGAGTAGCTCACAGAGGTGTAGAACTGATCCCTCTCCTTCACATCGTAGGGCTTGGGGAAGGTAGGGGCTGATTTGCCATCCAAAATCCCTCTAAGTTTTAGGTACCTTTCCCATTGGTCTTGGAAGTAGGACCTGTAGGAAGGAAAACAATCTACAGTCAATTGAAAAGTTGATAACCATAAGGAAAGGTACCAGATGGATGTGTGAACAGGAAAAAAAACTCCAAGATGACTTCAACTTCTTGTATTAATATCACAAATGACATTAAAAATTTAAAATGAACTCACCTAAGTAAGAGCTATTCAATAAAGTTTTGCTAAGGGTTAATATAAATAAGGCACTGATGCCTATTGCTAAATTAGAAAGGCATATAGCAAGCTAAAGGTGAGAATTAAAGATTTGTTTTTCTTGAGTTGAGAATAATGTCAAGTCTCACCTTTCAGGGGGCACACTTTATTTAGTCTATCCTTATACATTTTATTGTATTTTCTAATAAAAATTATATATATTTTAGGTGTACTGCATAATGATTTGATATACATATACATGGTGAAATGATTACTACAGTCAAACTAATGAACACATCACCTTCTTATAGAGTTGTGTGTTGTTGTTTTTTCAAAAGGGAACTTTGGAATATCATGATCATGGGTGATTTCAGCAAGAAGCCTCTGGACCTTCTTATTCTAAGAAAGGCAATGTGAAGCAAACTCAGAAAAAGGGGAAAATGTGGTTTTACCATCTTTTCTTACTAATTAGCAAGTCAACACTGGAAAACAAGTTCCAGGAGATGGACGGGAAAGTTCATCTCAGTCTAGGATAGCCACAAAGACTATAGAAAGAACAGGATCCCTATACACAAGTGAAGCACTACAGCTGCACTACTCTCTGAGGTCTTCACTGGGCCACCCAGTGGCAACCACTGCTAGAACTTGAAGTCCTTAGCAGGTGGGAAGGGAGGGGGCTGGAGGCAGTAGATGACAGAACTGGACGGGGAGAACCATGACAGTTGCTATGACCTAAGAACTCTAGGCATACACAGGCACGCCCATGCGCACACAGATGCCATGCTTTCCCAGCAGGAGTGTGCACCTATAAACTTACCAGTGCTCAAGATTCTTCTCCACAAAGTAGCCTGCTTGGACAATGTACTTTTTAGCTTCTGGTAGCACCTCCATCAGTCCTTTCCCCCATTGCCAGGGAGGCTTGCCATTCACAGCATAGGCTGTAAAAAGAGCAGACACAAGGGCTCCCAGGTAGCCGGTGGGGTGGTGGTGGGTCATTCGGCCACTCTCGATGCTCACCTGGATCAGCGTGTCTAGCTGGCAGGGGTAAGGGAACCTGAGGCCGATGCACATGGCTCGCATAGCAGCCCCACAGCCTCCCTCGTGGTTGTTAAAGGGAATCCTCCAACCATTGTCTTTGTCTGGCTCCAACAACATGGCATTCTGCACTGAGGCACCTCCTGGGGAAGAGTCGGAGAGGGCATGGGGTCAGTGTAACCAAAGCAAAGGCTCCAGCAGGAGGGAAGACCAAGCTCTAGTTCCAAGTCTCTTAAATGGAAACTGAAAATAAAACAAAACAAAAAAATTATGACGAACACTCTCAAACTCCAAGCCAACATTGTGCCTTACTTTATATATAACCCTTAGCATGATCCTATATAATAAAGAGGTCATATGCAAAGTGACTGTCACACCCTCGCATAAGATGGCCACCCCCAGGTGTTCAAAGATAGCCGCCACAAGATGGCCTGTTGGGGAGGGAAGTTAGGGGCGACCAGGCCTGCAGGTTCAAAGATAGCCGCCACAAAATGGCCTGTTGGAGAGGGAAGTTAGGGGCGACCAGGCCTGCAGGGGAGGGCAGTTGGGGGTGACCGGGCCAGCAGGGGAGGACAGTTAGGGGCCATCAGCCCAGCAGTTAGGCATCGGTCAGGCTGGCAGGGGAGGGGTTAGGGGGTGATCAGGCAAGCAGGCAGGCAGGCGAGCGATTGGGAGCCAGCAGTCCCGGATTGTGAGAGGGATGTCCCAGATTGGAGAGGGTACAAGTTGGGCTGAGGGACACCCCCTCCCACCACCCAGTGCACAAATTTCATGCACTGGGCTTCTAGTAAGATTAATAAAAGAAGCAGATTCATATAAAGAGCCTTGGAATCTTTGCCAGTTATTACTGAGACACCACAATAACTCAGAAAGGTAAAGTATAACATATCCTCTTTTTTAAATGAATAAGCTAAGGCTCAGAGCTTAAGAACCTTGCTCAAAATCATGTAACCAGCTCATCACCAGCCCCATCAAAACCTTTTTCTCCCAGCCCAAGCCCTTAAAGAATCCAAGGAGAAACTGACAACTGGAGTTCCCAAATGTCAGAAAGAGGACAGTTCGAGTGAATAGCGCCAGGCTCAGAGACAGAGCAATGGGTTCAGAGCCACAATGTGCCCTTGCGTTTCCCCCACTATTGTGAGAACAGTGTGATCAGGCTTGTCCTATCACCCTATCCTACTGGAAACCGGGAACGCACACATGAACAAGCAGCAGCAGTTATATACGGTGGGATGGGGTGTGGTGTTACTGTTCCCTTATGGGCAGTTATTCACAAGGTCATGGGAGGCATAAGTGGACAATGAAAAATTTCCACTTGTTAATCTGATGAGATATCAGATGTAGAGAAAGAATGAACAGACTGGCTTTGAATGCCAATTCTTGGGGTCACCAGAGACCCCTGGGTATGTGTGTGGGAGGGGGAGCATTTTCATCAGGAGGCACTTTTCATCAGCTCATAAGCTGAATTGTGTCCTCTAAAATTCCTATGTAAAAGCCATAACCCCTGGTACCTCAAAATGTGGCTGTATTAAGAGACTGGACCTTGAAAGAGATGAGGCAGTTGAAATGAGAACATCAGAGTGGGCCCTAATGCAATCTGATGAGAATAAGAAGAAATCTGGACACACACAGAGACACCAGGGATGTGCACCGTGGAAGAGAGGACACAGATATAAGGAGGTCGTCTGCAAGCCAAAGAGAAAGGCCTCAGAAGAAACCAAACTTGCTGACACCTTGACCTCAGACTTCGAGCCTCTGAAACAGTGAGAAATAAAAGTTCTTTAAGCCACCAGTCTGTGGCAGTTTGTGATGGCAGCTCAAGATGACCAACACAGGAGGAGAGGTAGGTCAGATGGGATAGAGAAAGGCGATTCAAACCACCTGGTGACCCAAGTGGCTGCAACAATGTCCCAACCGGGCAAGAACACTTGTGAACAAACCTGGAAACAGAAAAGCAGTCTCTGCAAGACACTTTCCATTTTCTTTAAAAAGAAAAAAAAATGTTTTCTTTATATTTGTTCATTACAGAAAACTTAGAAAATACAAATGCGCAAAAAGAAAATAAGAAACTATAAATACGCCCATTACACAGATATAATTAGGAATATCTTTGTGTATGTTCTTCCAGACTTCTCCCAAGAGATATACATGTATCCTTTATTACCAGTGGGTTTTTAAGATACATCCGGTTTTGTAACCTATTTATCTTTCACTTAATATATAACATCCTTCCATATCAGGAAATATTTATCTGTGTAATTTTAAGTGGCTACAAATGTATCGCCATAATTAAATAAATTATGGGACATGTAGGCGGTGCCTATTTTTTAATCACAATTATAAAAACTACTGTCTCCTTGATATGTAAATCTCAGTGTCAACACTGCAATAACTTCCTTGGGCCTGTTTTATTCTCCACTTGCCCAGGACCTCCACTGGCTGCCCTCACCTGGTGCCCGGCCATCCATGTCCCCCATGCAGTCTTGGTAATGCTTAGCAAGGAGGGAGTACAGTCGACCCAAGTCTGAGACTTTCCCGGCTTCCACAAGCGCGTCTGCCGTGGCCAGGTGCATCACCGTGTCATCGCTGACTCTCCAACTCTGCACATCTATGGCGTCCAGGCCCCCAAGCTGGGCCAGCTGCTGGTGGATCTTCTCCCCACTCCTGAGGAACTCCCACTGCCCATTGAAGTACCCCAAGGCATCTCCCGCTGCACTCAGCACCATGGCGGCCACATACCTCTCAATCAGTCCCCCACACATGGTGAGGCCGTCTGTCGGGGGAAATTAAGACACACAGAGGACAAGGAGAAAGAAAAAAGTCAGAAAAAATAACAGCCTTATCGACATTTTATTGAGCATTCACTACTTGTAGTAAATGCACCTCATTTAATACTCACAACTAGTCTGTGAGGAATGTATTATTAGGCCCATTTTATGGATGAGTTAAATGAGGGTTATAGAGATAATAACGTTTCAGAAATGATAAGTGACTTGTCTTGGGTCACAGAGCTAAGTTACGTGGCTCAGGATCCATCTGACGCCAAGCCCACGATTTTAACAACCACTCCATCTTTGCCTCTCTGGGAGTGTTAAGCCCATTACATTCTGCAAGGCAAGCCAAACTTGTCATTTTCTTTTTTGTGGGGACTTGGCCTTAGAAGTGCATCCCTCCTTTACTTAAACAATACTTTCCATTACAATGCACAGTTCACAAGGCACCTGCACATTCTCTGTTCTCATTTTCAGACAAGATTACAGTGCCCATTTCACAGATAAGAAAACTGGGGATTGCCCTAGCTGGTTTGGCCCAGTGGTTAGAAGGGTCTCGGTTTCAATGATAGTCAAGGGCATGTACCTTGGTTGCAGGCTTGACCCCCGACCCCAGTCAGGCGCCTGTGGGAGGAAACCAATCGAGATACCTCTCTCACATGGATGTTTCTCTCTCTCTGTCTCTCTCCCTCCCTTCCACTCTTTCTAAAAATCAATGGAAAAATGTCCTCTGGTGAGGATTAACAAAAACAAACAATAAAAACCTCAGCCTGGTCAGCACCTGCAGGCTCTGCAGACAAGGGGTTCACTGGAAGTTCTCACTGTCCCCGCCTATTTATCCCATTGGATGGATTGAGGTGTGAGGGTTAACGAGTTTAGGCTCTGGGATCAGATTGCCTCTGTAAGCATCCAGTTTTGCCTCTTACCAGTTAAGGAATTACGGGCAAGTTATTTAAGCTCTCTGTGCCTCAGTTTCCAAATGAGTAAAACAAGAATTAAACTGTTTT